CAATTCTAGCGATGAAACTGTATTTAAGCAACAGCAATCTGCTTAATACCACAGTACCGCAAGAAACGAAATACAAAACTGTAAATATTTATCAGGTGCTTCGTAAATTAGCTATGTTAAATAGATATAATTTTTTTATTATAAATCTTATTGAACATTACACGGTACATAGCTGCTCGACACCATCACTTCGCGAGAAGTTAACAAAAAATACTTTCAATAATATAAATCAACAATGTAGGAGCGTTATTAGCCAAAAAGACAAGACACAGCTCATAGAATGTGTTGAGGGAATCGTCAAAGATAATTTAAAGACATATAAAGCTGACGAATCCCCAATCAATAGAAATTATTATACAATTGAAAATTTGATCATGAATGACATTTTAGAGAAGTCTTTGAGTACAGATACCAGTTTATCAATGCTGCAAGAACTGAAAATTTCCTGGGAAGGCGGTCACAAAAAAATAACGGACATTGTCGAGATTGTGAAAAACAACGTTAATCCAAAATATCTTTGCAAATACCAATCGATCGTGATAAAAGCCGTAGTGTTTATTGTGTATGACCAAATTAAAACGATTATTCAATCTAGTACATCAAGCAACAATTTCCAAGTATATTGTTCTAAGAAGAATGCAATGCTGAAAGAATTAAAGGTTATAAGCAGTGATTTTTTCCCGTTAGGAATATTCCGAGTTTTTGAAATGATTGTTGATCGTTTTGATGAGTACTTCCAAGTTGACTCTTCGATTAACAAAAACGCACTTGTTCGTACCATTGAAGTAGAACAATATTTTTTGGGAATGCAAAAACAGTCGTCTGGTACAATAGTCGACGATATAGTGCAATCAATTCCAGATCATACGTTAGGAACGAGCTCAGAGTCACAAGATGTCGGAATAATTGTATCGTCTGAACTTGAAATGGATGGTCAAAAAAACATAAACAAACTACTATCGTATTTGGCTGTTGTTAAGGACATTCGGGGCACTCTTACAAATGTTGCACTTGTGTTGGATTTGAAACGAATGAGTAGTTCAGAGGTCTAATATTATTATGATGGATGTCATATTGTTGTAATAAGTATAAACATGTTATATTTCCTTTTGTTTTACATAATTTATATAATATTATTATAATTGAATAGTATCAATATCATTATACAAGTTTATAAGTGTTAAATCAATATCATGCTAAAAATGTATACCCCATTGTTCTCTGTGCAAAATTAATATATTTATTGTACTGCTTATGGACATTATTTTTATTTTATTAAAATGCTTTTACCGATTTTTGTGTTTTTTTTTTCCATTACTTTGTTTCGCATTGATGTGTTTGTTTGAAAGTGTTTTTATCACTCACTGTTGTAATAGTTCATCCAGACATGTAAGTAAAAAATATACTTGGGTAAGCAATAAAACAATTTGATGGCAAATTAAAAATAATATTTTATATTTAGAAAATAAAATAACATAAATATGGACATCTTTAAATTATTTAATATTTTTAGTGTATCTGAAAAATAAAATTACTGGAATTTTCATTGATGCAATTAAAATTCCATATTTTTATTGATACTCGATTTAACAAACCTAAAAGGTTTTTGTTGAATTTAATTCAATCTGTAACGTGTAAAGTGTAAAATTTCGAAAGTCTATCTGTACATTTTAGGCAAATAGTAAGCAGTTGTTAACCTACTGAACACTGCACATAGTGTGATCTCGTCATCCGTGTGGGATTTGGCAGATTTTAAATTGCACAATCCAATCAACCGTCTGCTCGGCTATTCTTTGTGGCAGATTGACGTTTGTTGTCTCCGAAAACGAAGGGTCGAGCACGGGATGATAAATAGTTTTTGGGGGATGAAAAGCCATTTTATAATGTTGCGCAACAATGGGGGAACAGATCAGCAAACCGGCCCTTCAACTATATCAAGTATACACTGTATTTTTACATAGACAATTGACTTTAAAGGGAGGGGATGTAATCCGGCATAATTAAACATGTAAGACCGCAACACATTACAAGAAAGAAAGATTGTTTTGTTTCGTAAATAAAAAGATTATTTCGTTGTAAAAAAAAATATGTATTTTTACTAGTCTGAATATGCACATGAGACCCGGTGGATTATTTAACGTTTTGGCATTCCATTTAAAGTACTCGCCAAAGCGAAGGAGTCAAAAATATACACGGCACCTTTACGAATAACAAGGCCGTTTCAGTCATTATGGAATTCTACAAAAATACATTTCATTTACGTGTAGCCGGAATTAACACTTAGAGAAAAAAAATACAACAAGTGCCAACGAAGGGAAGAAAACAATAATACAATTATTAATGCACATTGTTTCGCTCAGTGTGCTAATCTACGTTTTTCTAATTCACTAGCCACTAGTGTCTAGTAATGAAAACATAATCGGTTATAGGATTTTCAATATTGAGTAAATTAACCCTAAGAAACTAATTTAAAACATAAAATTTAATTGGTAAAAAAAAATATTCCTACATAGTACAAATTGACTAAAATGTGTTTGCATTTAATAGCAATCAAACGAAGGTGGGTAATGTGTTTATTTATTGAAAAATGATAGGCTTCCAAGTTAACCTCAGCTAATTAACAACATTCTAGACATGATAATTTATCACTTTATATTAGGAATAATCATTAACAAACAGTCAACACCGTGTTACGCTTTACGGGTTATAATATGGCAAGATTAATGTAAATATCCTTATTTATAAGTTGTAAAACAACAGCTATAGCCTAATAAGTTAGCAAAACAAGTTCTTTTTTAAAACTTGAGTCATGATGAAAATATTGTTTTTGGCTACCGAATTTGTACTGTCTATACATATATATATATATATATATTCTGGAGTTTTTAATCACCTAATTTATATCCAAATGTGTATTTTTTTTTCGTTGGCCAAAAATAATTTACAGTGTAATTAAACTTTTATATAATTTAATAATGTAAAGTGGATGAGTCGTGCGGTTATAATTATTATTACACGTCGTCGGCTATAAATACAAGTGCAACTAAAGTGCAAAGCAAAAAAAAAACTGTTGTATTGTTCTAAAATACTACGAATGAGTGTAGCGGTTATTTTGGTCACTGTTGATACTATTCCAAAGGTCTATGGAGATTAGCCAAAAAAAAAAAACCTAAAGGTGTTATACACTTGAAATCGAAAGAAATCCTTGACATTCTTTCAAAAGAAAAAAAAAACAAACGAGAAAAGTTCTCTTTCTGACATTGGTGTATTTGAAAGTTCATCTCAGGAGCAGGGTATGTGTATGTATCTATTTATATGTGCATACAAAATATACCTACACTAGTTTGATGTTCAATTTATTTAATAACGAATAAAAAACAATTTTTTATACCTATGAAGACTAATAAATCACTTTTAATATTAGGTATGCTGAATATCCATATCAATTTCAACAATATAATATTATACTTAGATGAAAATTGTACAAAAAACCAACGTCAATCATGTTGGATTACAATTAATCAAATTATTTCATCATCTACAGATACATATATTTACTGTATGATGGCTGTTTAGTAAAGCTAAGTCGGATGAGTAATCTTATCATATTTAACAATACAATACAAATCTGAAAATTTGAACTATTTATAGTAATTAAGAACTTAGGAGTTAGGATAGAACTGATAGACTATTTATAGAAAAGGAGAACTTTAATATACAACAATAATTTTCCAGTTTTTTTTCTCTTAATATTTATCAATTTAATGAAAAAAAATTAACATTAATTAACTGCAAATTTGAACTATTTCTATAGTTAAGGGTGTAGGAATAAACCGGTTGATTAATAATCATTTGTAGAAAAGAAGAACTTAAGTATCAGAATATTGAAATAACAAAGGAGAATGAGTTAAGAGAACACTTAAATTATAAATGAATTTATAACTAATTACCCAAGCTTGAATTTAAACATTGCATACACAGGCCAATTTCTTGCTATTGAAGACTTAGAGATCAACTTGACTTTAATTGATAAGCAAAATAAAACAACTGCTTTAAAAATGTCGATAAATAACGATTTAAATATCCATGATTTGCCTTCATGTCGAGAAAAACTTTTTAAAAGTATTTATTATTATTTAAATACAAATTGCCGTATAGCATATTATTTTTTACAACCAATACATGGGTAACATAATATTGGTAACATGTAGGTATACCAGGTATACCATACAAGTATGGCCACTTCGAGTAGTGGTCGTGCTACAAACACAAGCACATATATTTTTTTTTTTGATAAAATTATATACTTACAACAAATGGATGATAAGACATAATTTACATTTTTTATTACCAATTTCGAGTGTAAAGCAACCAAATACTGCAATAATAATATGATATTATGACTCGTTGAATTAATTTTAGATCTACAAACCGGCCGTATAATAGCGAGGAAGTCTGACCGAGAGTGAAAATCAACCTATACATGTGTACCATATATGGACAGTGTTGGATTGCATAGGTACGGTAATCAAACTACATCTATTTTAGGACTAGTTACCAGCAACCAGTTAATGTGACGCATTATTCAACTAAAGTTTATGCGTTCATTACTATTTAAAAGTGTTACGTTATTTAATTATCATAATATTTTATATTGAATTAATTCAATTTAACCAATTTCCTATCATTGGTATAACAGTCTAAATCATGAGTTGTGCTTAAGGACTAACATATTAAATCCGTCATCCAGAGATAGACATTGTCCCTTGACAGCAAGACAACAATCACATAATGTAATATCCACACGAATATATTACTCCAAGTAAATATGCTTTAATTATGCTGAACTGATACATCAATCATACCCGCCATCCGTTTTATAACTCTTTTTAACTATTATATTATGGAAACGGTAATTATTTTTATCGACAACAAACATTGTAATTTCAAAAATAATATATGCAATTAAAACTGTTTACTGTATTTAAATAACACTAACTAATAAGCAATAGTTATTACAAAAGAACTTTAAACGCCTTACATGTGATGTGTCCAGTTTTGCATGTAATAGTACAAATTATATGTGTGTAAGATTGTCCTAAATATATTTGACTATTTTTTTATTTAACTAGGCTGTGAATAGGCAGCATTGCACATTGTCATACAAATTACAATCGTAAAATCTTAAAAAAAAAAAATGTCCCACACAAAATTAGTATTATTACTATTTATCCAATGAGCTGTTTTCATAAAATATTGAGATTAATATTGTACTTCTTAAACCGTTATTGTCATTGTAACAAAACACCAAATAATATCAATAGTATAGTGCACCCTAAAACCATGAAACACATTTGGGCCGTTTTGGTGTGGAAATTCGATTGGCTTTATATCAATCCAAGTCAAGTGTTTTGAACGATCCGTCTAGGCCAAAGTAGTCGCTTTCTGTTTTTGGTTTGCCGACACGTTTTTGCTCGTCGACCCTGTATTTTTCTTCTTCCATGAACCACGTTTTCATTTCTTTGATTCGTGCCAATGTCTCATCTGAACATTTTATTTAAACATGAAAATAATACACCACACAGTTGTTAACAGTTATTATTCGGTTACCTCTGTAAATCGTTCTTGACTTTCCCGTTCCTCCTATTTCTGACGGCAAGATTTCCTTGGGTATACTGTCGAATATTGTTTCAGAGCCAGCGGAATGATAGAATAACTGTCATTAAAAATGGGGAAAAATCAATTATTAATGTAATAAAAGACACATATTAGTAGAATAACTATGGTTTTATGTGGTGGTTTAATGTATGTGACAAATAAACAATTTTATACAATAACATTATACATGCAAACGGTAGCTACTCCTAAGTATCTCAAGTATGCTACCTACCCATAAGTATCTTAAGTGTTATCATAGATGAGGCAGTGTCTATAAAAGCCGGCATTTACTGAACACGTCGACTGAGATTGATAACCAGTTTTAAACAACTTTTAACACATTTTTAAAGTTATAAGAGTTTGAAAAGAGGGGAAGTGCGCGCAGATAAAACGAATACTACACTCCACCTTTCCGCCTGCGCTAAACTTGAAACTTCAAAACTTCAAAAATAGTTAACCAAAACTGGTTATCGACTAGTCAAAATTTAGTTAAGTTTCAAAAGTTGGTCTAAGAATAATTAATTTGGGATAGGAACATAAACGTGTGTAGCAAATTGAAATCACATTATATAAAAATACTATGAAAAAAGAAAAATTGAATTATTAATTAAATCCGGTGAAATATTAAGTGGCTCACGATAAAAAAAATCACCCTGTATAAGTTATATGTATACAGGGTGATAAACTTATCGTGAACCACTCAGTATCTCACTGGATTTAATTAATAATTGATTTTTTCTGTACATGATGTTTTTATACAATGTGATCTCAATTTTTCACAATTTTTTTTGTTTTCCCCCTCCCCCCATCTTGGTTTTTTTATGGCCACTTTTGAAACTTAAATGGTACAATGTTCAAGTTGAAAATATTATTTTTAGGAGTCGATCGAATTCAAGTATAAAACGCGTTAGTCTTTGTTAGGAAAATAAAATGGCATTTACATTTGCATTGACATCTGTTTGGCGTACAACAATAATTTTATAAACGAGATGTTTTATTATTTTGTTTTTTTTCCCACTGTTCGGTTTACATTATTTTTGATTTTACAAAGTGTACGAAATACGGAATTGCGAAAATTTTCAACTGACAACAACAATGTATTCGCATGATACACCGACTGCCGTATATATTATTATGGCACTCTCTACCTAATTCATTGAACGTGTGCTTGCTCTCAAAGTATTAAATTGGACGGAACCTTTCAATGAAAATACTCAGAATTTTTTCGAATAACAAAATTTTTATTATAAGAAAAAAATGTAGTTATGACGTACAATGGTAACGCACGATGGACGTATCTGAACATTACAATAAAATGAGTATATTATATAGTTAATGTAAATTAGATTTAAATTGAAAATGTTTGCATATAACATGTAAACGAAATCAAATGTGCCGCGATTTTCATATTCCAATTCATCAATACATCGTTTTAGACTTACATCATTGATACATATTCCACGAATAACCGAACAAGTTTAAAGTCGACAAATTTAAACATCCATCTGAGATAGTGTAAAAATGCTGTGGTATTTTCCAAACTATAACGCTCAATGGGCACAGCACTTTCTTTAAGAACCAAATCGCAGTACGTTATCGAACTTTTATAAGGTGTCTGGAATTCATTGCCGTTCAGCTGGATTTTCTTAGCAGCTTCACACCCGAATTGTTCACAAAGTTTTCCCACTATTGGAATTAAATATCCAACCACACCGTCTATTGTTTGCTCTTTTTCAACAAGCTTATCGAGATAAACTAGCAAGCCACTCACGTGTGAATCTTCGGACAAGCTTAACGTATCGCCAAACTCTTCGACTTTATCATGCCATTCTTGCGCGTATTCCGCGTATTCGATTGAACACATAACGCCTCTTAAATAGCCAAGGTGTTTTAACGACAGCTGGAACATGATGATTTTTAGAAAATCAAACGTCAGTTTATAGTGTAATTTCAGGTTCACAAATTTGTCGGCAGTCCAAAAACTTTTGCGCGCATCGCACAAAGATTGAGCTAATATATCAGCTGCGCTGTGCCATTCTATTTGCACGTTGAACACGTTCATTAAATCTTCCATCGAAACATCTTTTGAACCGATTTTGTTTAGTAAAAGTCTTCCGATTTGAAACGTTTTCGAATCAATTTCACTCAACGACATGTTGTTTTTTGCAAGCAACCCTTCGGCTCTGGCAGTGTTCGACAGCATAAAATCTTCCAACTTTTTTTGCGAAGGATTCCCGTTCGAGAAAATCTGCTGCTCGTCGTTAAACGAATTATCTTTGCGGCAGTACGTTAAGCGTCCGCGCACTTGGGCGATGACATAGTCGAGAGTGGCAAACATTTTCATACTGTCTTCTACCTTGTCTTCGGACTCCCGGTAAAAATCCTTTGACAGAGCCAAGTACAAATGTATTAACCACAACGCATCCATACGCTTTACGTTTAAGTGGTACAGTGAATATATTTGGCTTTTGACGACATGGCCGTATTGAATCATTCTACCGATCAAAACCGATAGAGACAAAGAATACGTTAAATGCTGTGTCAACAGCATGTGTACCAATCCGCTATACAGGTATGTACATTTTAAATCATCGTGGATAATACCTTGGCCAACGCTGACTTGGCTGGGATACATGCATCCGGTTTCCAACGATTGTGCTGGTTGGCAAACGAACAACAATAACCCCAAAACCGTGCTAGTCAGTGTGTCGAAGCGCATCATATTGTTTTCTGTCTAATATTTGATTGAAGTCGGTGGAAAAAAAAATGGCGTCTGCTAGCTTGCTTCTTGCGGTAACGAAATTTTGAGACTACCAAATTTGTCAAGCCTATGATTTCGATTTTTTTTTTTTTAGCCTATATACGTGGCTTTTTCGGAGAGAGAAATCAAATAAATTTTCCGTTGTATTTATTTAGACCACGCATATGAGTACCGTGTGTCGCTCATTTTTTTAATAATTTAGTTTTATAATAACTTAGCGAAAACCCCGTCACCAAAAATCGACATCGCCAAATTATTTAACTAAACGTTTTTGAAATGACAAACTATGTTTTTTAACAAAACTGAAATAGAATTTATTTATTAGAAACTTTTATTTGATATACATTCAACACATTTTCCGTATACTATATACTACTATTGTAATATTATATTAAATTTAGTTCGCATGACTCATAGCATAGCATACATTTACTCTGATAACTATTGGCGTAAATTGGGCGGGACTAGGATGTGTACAGGGTGATTCATTAAGGATAAGACACTAATTTTCTCGGAATATATTAATATTTTGAACAATATTTTTTTTACAAGATATTTTGGTACACATTGTACTATATTTTTCAATATCTTGAAAATTTTTATTACCAATCCTTGAAGGCCAAAAAGGGGGATTTTAGTTTTTTTTTAATGGCAACATATGTTTTTAATTACATAAATTTGTATCCCCCCACTTTGGCATTAAGACCACAAAAATAATTTAAGTTCCTTACGCTAGGTTAGAGAAATAAACGAATAGTACCTAATAATACATAAACTTTTATATTACACTAAACTTTTAAGCTCATTCTCATTTTTCGTGAAATTACACCCTTATATATATATATATATATATTACCGATCATCAATAATTGTAAATCCGAAAAAACCAGGTGGGCCAATTAAATGCCCACCTTAACTTAAATTAAGAACAATGTACTAAAAAATTTGACTGGTCGATAACCAGTTTTGGATAACTATTTTTGAAGTTATTGAAGTTTTAAGTTCAGGGCAGGAGGAAAAGAGGTGGAGTGTAGTATTATTTTTATCTGCGCGCATTTCCCAACCGCACTTCCCCCTGTAATACCAACTTTTAAACTCTTATAAGCAGTATATATATATTTTTAAAAATCGCCTTAACAATAACACTTAGGTTTTACGAATAATGTGAATACATAACATGAGTTACCTTTTCGGATAGTTCGGTTTTCATAAAAGGCTTCGTCATGCTGGTAATCATGTCTATAAACGGAACCGTGTTTATGGTGTGTATGGCTTTTAAACGTGCCGGTAAACCTTCCTGCAAAGAGTAAAACATCACGAAGCATTTGAACGATTAGCAACAAAGTACCCGTGCGACACGCTTATTATAATTGTTGTGGTATTGTGTTTGGTATTATTTAAGTACCGTGCTGCTGTATTACCTGTAAGAAGTACACGTACTTTTTCATCAGACCCACGCTTAGACGGGCCATATGACTCAGGGTGAACCCTTTCATGTCGTATATTATGACGAGTCCGTTGAAAGTGCCCGAAGTCATTAACAACATGTCCATGAGCATACTTATTCCTTTGATTACCTCGGCAAACACAAAAAGTTCCGGTTCCGTGCGGTCTGGGTACAAAAATATCACCCTGTCGCCGTCCGGTGTTGGTTCGGGAAACAAGCAAAATCCACTGGAAAATCCAAAAAAAAAAAAATCTATAATAATATCAACTGACCTTAAATCGCCGTCATTCAGAGTGACCGCCTTACTGTGACTCGAGCCAGTTCGTCTTACAGCTGATATTGCGACAACTCTTATCTCATTTTTTTGCCAAATAAAGCTTGTCGTGTTATTATCACAGAACAAACAGAAAAGGGAAAATGGCGGCTACATTGTTGTCGGCGTAGGACATTTAATAAATGAACAGTATATTATAATTGGTATGACATAACAGGGCAACACAACACATAAATATTATAAATCGAATAGAATAAAATTCAACATGTCATATGAAGTAAAATAAACATCACAAAAATTGAGAAAACAATGATAATACGATTAAGGACTATCAAGGTCTGTACGTAGTAACTATTAAAGCTTAGCGATGAATTATATGGAACTATAAGTCAATGTCCAGATTTTGTATCCATTCGACTACATCCTTATTAGCTGAGTGAACTATAGTTCCATATAATTCATATCCAAGCTTTAATAGTTACTATATATAGACCTTGCTCGTCCTTAATCTTATTATCATTGTTTACTTGATTTTTGTAATGAACAGTGTAGCCATTAATTACAACAACATTAAAAAAAAAAACGAAATATCTTAGTTCTGGCATCACTGGCTAAATCTCAATACGTCTGACCTTTTTTTTATCAACTTTAAGATTCCCTTTTGTTTAGTCTGTGTTATCATTGCCGTTAGTTTTGGTTTGAAAATTGTTAATTAAATAATTTATTAAACAATTGAAAAAAACGACCAACAATATGAATCATAGTTCGAAAATCACCCTTTATAAATTGAATATTTCATTACATTGTCTTAAAGATGTCTGCTACGGGTTTATAGTCGATGTCCCTCTTGGTAAAAAATTCGGGCGAATGTGTGCGAATAGTAAAATAAGATTCTATTGTAGATTTTGTCAATTCCAACCGATAGAAACAGCTGTGCAAGAACAGTATAAGATGTTCGTCTGAAAGCACAAAATTATACTTTTAACTTACACTAATGGCCGGTTGCACCAAACTTGTCGTTATCTAATGGTATACTTATTACCACCGTAAAAAACTAACTTTTGTTAAACTTTATTTTTTGTTAAATTAACTTGTGTTAAATTTACGAGTGTTGCTTATTCGTTGTTTTATATTCAGGTTATTACCAGTATACAGGTTATCGAATAAATGGTATCAGCAATAGGAGTCAATATTATTATCATCAAGGTGGATTTATCCATAAATCCACCTTGATTATCATACAGGGTCTTATCAATGGTAAATTTTGTTATCAATGACAAAACATTGATAACAGAATTTAACTATACATACATTTTTACGCAGCGATAAATGACCCTGTAATTTAGCTAATGATAAAGTACATTTTTAACAACATGTAAAATTTAAAACAGGGTTTAAGTAACATTATTAATTTTAACTCCAGTTAAACTAGTTTATATCTCTGTATAAATATTTGGCGCAACCCGGCATAAGACTGTATTTCTAAATTAAGTAAAAACAGTTACATTGTTATAACAAGAAGCGCAACTATGTTGATTTGTTATGGATATTTAAATAATATTTCCAAGTACATTTTACAATATCTTAAACTAACATGAATTGCAAAACCTCGTGCATAACGAAAAAAACGTTAAATTGAGTAAATATTATTAAAACATTATGACAGATTAAATTTGATTTAATTACGTTTTTAATTTTGTGACAATTTGTAAAAAAAATGTTATTAATAATGTTTACTTTTTGGCGCTAGGCTTTGGCTATTAGACAATTGACTGATATAAATTATTTACAAGCAAATTATGCTAATTATAGAAGTTGTCTATGACAAATAAATAATAATAATTTATTAATATAAAATAATAGATAAAAATATATTAGGCCAACAGCTAATATAAGGCCATGAATAAATCAAACATATTCTATACAATTTTTGTTCATTTTACTTGTATATTATGGACATGTATATAAATCCAAGCTGTGTAATCTAAATTTAATAGGAGTAAAATACCACAAACATCACTTTTGCTGTTTAACTTAGCATAGGTGTATTTTACCTGTAACATCAGGCAGATGAGGTTGCTTAGCCAGCCAGTCTCTCAGATGACTTAAGTCTTCTTCTTTGAGTTCTGGATTTTTCTTGAACTCGTCTTCTCTCTTGAAAAAATTCATTTTTACTTGATAATAATATTTTAGTATGACTTAGATGCGTGGCGCTTGCGAAACACAAAATGTCTAATACCGTGTTTCGTTTTGTTCTATTCGTTTTATAGTGAACACGCCATACTGAATAATAATTACATATTATGCACATATAAGTGCACCACAATAACACATAATTAGTGAATAATACCCATACGTTTGATTATTTTACAGAAACATCCTTGTACAGTTACCTGATTTCGATTTCATTTTTTTTTTTCAATACAAATTACAGCATTCATACAGGATGTAGTTCATTTTATTGACTATTGCAACTAACTTTAAGCTAACTAAAAAAAAAAAACAATGTAAAATATTTATATTATTTTACCCAAGCTGTAACATTGCTGCGTCAGTTGTTGTTTGTGAAATGCATTAACATAATAGTCTTACTTTGATGGAAATAGAGTAACATGCATAATTTAGGTCTTAAAGTTAAGTTGTTTTATAACCATGACAATTTGTTTACATTATACCCGTTCACGTATTACTAAAAATGTATTTATTTTTGTTTTTTTATGTATACATTAGACGGTTTTAATTTCTAAGGTAGAATCAGCCATTTGATTTGCATAAATCATTATTATCTGCACTGAAATTCTGCTACTATTTGTTTAGGACCTTATTACTTGTTTTTTTATTATGTACATTCCATTGAAAATAATATTGTTAAACATAATATTATTTAATATAAGCTCATTAGTTGTAGGTGCCGATGAACTGATTATTATTATTAAGTCAATGCACATTTTAACCTGTCAACACAATTATTGATTATAATTAAATCTAACCATTTAAACATTTTAAATATGTCCAATTTGAAAACATGTTCATATAGTCGAAGCTCACCCGGTATTTCAGTTTATCTAGCTCAAAGTATGTCATCAATGAGCTACAATACAAGTGACCTTGTACGACACGGTGATTAGTATCACGAACACAATAATACTAATGATGTTTTGCGAATTGTCGGTAAATATATGTTAGTATATATTGATATATACTTACATATTATAATTGTGATGTATAATAATATGGCCATACGATTGTAGGGAATAAATAATAATTAATAAATAAATAATATTTAGTTTTTACGTTATTTTTTTATAAGGCGTATGAGTCATAAGCAAAACAGGTAGCTTTGATTTTCAAAACGTTGTTCTGATTTGAATGAATAATTACCAAAGCCGAAGGGCGTAGCGCTTAAAAACAATGTTATATGATATGATTATAAAGATTTTAATATTTGAATATGGGCGGGAAAATATTTAAGCTGCGGGGTTGGCTGCACTGTACATTGACCGGTTATCTTATCAAAAATTGAGATAATATTTTCTTTTGCGATGAGCGATAACAAATGTCTCAGCCGGTACAATGTTCACGCGTTTTTACTTTTAATGGTCTTCTACTTAGGTGTTCAATAATTTGAAAATTACATTCCTACTTAAAATGGCTTCGATGGCTGCGCTCAATATGGTCAAGAGTCAGTTCGGTAGAAATCTTTGGCGTATTAAAAACGCTGGAAAAGTACTGTACAGGCCTAAAATTTCACAAGCCGCATTAGCTTCGAGTAAGTTTTTCTTAACCCAATTGAAACGCGGTCGAGAAAATAATATTTGATTACTAACTTGTCGGTATAATGTTATTGGCGTGTTCTATTTGTTTTAGGCTTGTCTGTGAGACGCTACAGTGCTAACCCTAACGTTAATGCTAGTTCGGACAGCGGAAGCTCAAATGCGGGTAAATATAAAATAACGTTTATACATTTGTCAGTTTCTATTGTGTAGTGCTTGTGAAAGAAGAAAAACTTTAAAAAATTTTCTTTATTACATTATATTAATTACGGATGAGTTTACACGTTATCGAAAATTTCCGAGCACACAGAAACGTATACACAATATAATATAGAAAAATATTTTATAAAATGTCCACGGTTATACTTTTTTTTAAAAATTGTTACAAGACATTCAAGCCCTTGCTTTTTATATAATATTGTTTATTGTCTCTTATCAACAAGTTTTTATTTTAGTACAAACCCAAGCACTGTAAAAAAATTGATTGTGTAGATATTTTTTAATTATGTACGTTTAGTATGAATATAAAAACATAAAATTGTGAACTATATTCTTATAATTGTATAATACATTTGATATTTTAGAAAAGTTGGAATTCCAAGCAGAGACACGCATGTTGCTGGATATTGTGGCTAAATCGTTGTACTCAGAAAAAGAGGTAAATAATTGTTTTATAATGATACCAGTTACAAATAAATATCTTGGTCAACTTATTAATGGTTCAGAATGCGTTCCGAGCATAATATTTATACTTCATGCTTTCACCGAGAACAAGTTTTTTTTGGACCTTAAAATTAATAATAGAAAAACTATGTAGGGACACACGACCATTGAGAGTATGTTCTTACTACGTACACATTAGTAATTTTTTTTGACACAATAGTATAGATAATAATGAACGCTTCCTCTAATCCGTGTAGTAGTGTGACAATTTTAAAATTTACCGTTTACACCATTATTTACAGGCATTGTATTAGGTACACGCTTTTTTTTTTTGTCTTGAAAGCTTAAAATTATACAGTTAAAAAAAAAAAATCGTTTTCTATGCATAGGTTTTCATAAGAGAGCTCGTTTCTAATGCTAGTGACGCTTTGGAAAAGTTGCGTTACGTTAGTCTAAAAGCTAGCGAATCGCACGACATGGGAAGTCTGGAAATTAACATTTCGACCGACAAAACGGAACGAACGTTGACCATACAGGACAACGGCATCGGCATGACGAGAGAAGAACTTATTTCGAATTTGGGCACGATCGCCAAATCCGGTTCAAAAGTAAATAATTCACCAAAAAAAAAAACATTTGTTTCTTTTCAATATTATTATAATATTAATTTTCCAGGCATTTTTGAAACAAGCTCAAGACGGCGATTCTACAAACTTGTCGTCGATTATTGGACAATTCGGTGTCGGATTTTACAGTTGTTTCATGGTCGCCGACAAAGTCGAAGTGTTCACCAAGTCGATGGAACCTGACGCTGTCGGATACTTGTGGAAATCGGACGGGTAAAACTATATTGTTAACCGATCGTGTGGTTATTGTTGTTTTTTAATGTATATAATATATATTTTAACTTTGTATGTAGAACAAGCGTGTACGAAATAACCCAAGTGGACAACGTCGAGAGGGGTACGAAAATCGTTATGCACTTGAAAGCCGATTGTCGGGAGTACGCTTCCGAAGACGCAGTGCGCCAAGTTATTAACAAGTACAGTAATTTCGTCAACTCTCCCATCAAACTAAACGGATCTGAAATAAACACCATACAAGTAGGTCGATATAGTAATAATTAAGTACCCGGCCATTTTCATTTTTTTTTTTTTTTTTTTTGTACTTAAAATTTAACATTAAACATTTTCTAGCCGTTGTGGTTGCACAGTCCAAAATCGATTACCAAAGAACAACACGATGAGTTCTACAAGTACATTTCTAACTCGTACGACAAACCGAGGTTCGTGTTACATTATTCCGCCGAAGCTCCTATTCAAGTTCGCGCTCTGTTATATTTCCCAGAAACTCCTAGCACAGGTTATAGATCATTATTATTAGCATTGTATTTGTTATGTTTTTATCTAGTCTCGGTGAATAATAATTTAATCGGTTACAGGTCACGTTGAGTTCCGTAGTAACGTGACCAAAGGCGTTTCGCTGTACACCAGGCGAATATTGGTTAAAAAAGAAGCCGAACATGTACTGCCCAAATGGCTTGGATTTGTCAAAGGTACCGAATAGTGATAATTAATACTAGAAAAAAAACCCAGTTCAACCGTTTCAGGCTTGTAATAAAATTGTATGTGTATATTTTTTATAGGTGTTATAGATTCAGAAGATATTCCGTTAAATTTGAGCAGAGAAATGTTGCAAAATTCTGCGCTTTTACAGTACGACAAATTTCGATTAGCTTATTATTTTAACAAACGATATTGGAAGTTTTTTTTTTATTTTATAGAAAATTGAACCGTTTGCTCAGCAGTAGAATTATTAAGTTTTTACACGAAAAATCTGTTAACGACCTCGAGGAATATATGAAATTCTATAACGACTACAGTATTTTCATAAAAGAAGGAATTGTCGTGAACGAAGATCCTTCAGAACAGGCATGTTGGTTTTACACGTCGTTTAGAGTATCGTTATTTTAATTTTAAATTTTCACCTTGTCGTTTCAGGAAAATCTGGCTAGCCTCTTGCGATACGAATCTTCGCACACCGAGCCGGGCGAGACGATATCGTTCGAAGAGTACATCAAGAGGAAACCGGAGGGCCAAAATGATATTTACTATTTAGCGGCGCCAAAGTAACGACACGGCGTAAACGCGTAATACTCCATGACTGTTGAATTTCACGTTGTATTTTTTTATCACTGTCTTCCAGTCGTGCCTTGGCCGAAAGTTCTCCGTACATAGAAGCGCTGAAGAAAAAGAACGTCGAGGTGATGTACTGCTACGAGCCGCACGACGAAATAGTTTTGTACCAACTGAAATCGTTCAAAAACGTCAAGCTGACGTTGGTGGAAAAAGAAGTCAACTCGGCCAGCGATCAAGAGCCGAAAACACAAGATTACGGTCGGTTATTGGTTGTTTAATAATATATATATATATATAAATAATAATATAATGTATTTTACACACAGGCGCCGATAGTCTGAGTCAGTTGCAGTTGGACTCGCTGTTGCCTTGGATCGAAACCACTCTCGGTGCGAAAATCAAAAAAGCCAAAGTCACCGGCCAACTAGACACTCATCCGTGCGTGATCACCGTGCAGGACATGACGGCCGCCAGACATTTCATTAAGACGCGATACCAAGAAATGGACGAGGATATGTTGTTTTCGATTTTACAGCCGCAACTGGAACTCAACCCTAAGTAATATTCAATTGCAGTTATCTCTGCGTAATATTGTGTGTGTGTGTGTGTGTTATATTAATAACGGGCGATTTTATTCACACCTTTCCCGCAGACATCCTGTCATAAAGAAGTTACATACTCTCAAAGACTCGAATCAAGAACTGGCAAAACTAGTAGTCGAACAGGTAAAATTATCGATTATCAATTGCAAATATATTTTATCCGGGTTGCTAAAGTGCTCCGATTCGTGTTTAGCTATTCAGCAACTCGATGGTAACGGCCGGATTGATCAACGACTCGAGAAAGTTAGTGTCCAATCTGAATCGTCTTCTCGAATTAGCTGTTGAAAAATATTAGACGATTAAACGCCCGTAGTTTGGGAAAAAATCTGGTTAATTTTGTAAATATTATTATATAATTTTGTTTGTTTTTTTTTTATACATAGAAATATATTTTTAAAAATTGTATGTATATGTTTTTCACATTTTGTAAGACATTAAATGTGCGTGTTAAGTATAGCGCAATAGAATGACGGAAAATTTAAATCGGCCGCTCAGCAAATAACGGTATGTAAGTTGGCCAACTGAACTTGTTGTCCGAACGACAAATGATACCGATTTCAATAAGTACTAATCATTTGCATATTATGAGTTATGATTAATATTAAAGGTTCACGATGAAAAATAAAAATTTAAAGAAATATGACGTGAACGTTCTGAAGTGTAATATTTACGAAGGCAACGTAAAACAGTTCAGTCGAAGCGGCTCTGAAATTAAAATAAATCATCGGATAGCTGGCCGGTATGAGTTTATTATGTAATATTTTTTTGTTATTGAATTACCTAAAATAAAAACTAAATTTTGCCAACTAAACTAAGATCAGTTTTTGTGTCAAAATGTCTAAATCGACCGCTTGATTTTTGCTGTTGTCGGATCAGTCGAACTTGCATTGTACATTTTGATCCTGATAAGAGATTTTCAAAATTGTTTTTCGGTACAATAAATTAGTTAATATAGGTAATCAATGTACATTGTAAATCGCTGGACCAAGTTAAATAGGGCGTTAAAGGTCTTTGGTTGTGTCTAGATGTGATGATGTACTATTTAAGACAGTTACCATATTTGATAGATGATGCAGACAGTTATCATGTTATATCATCGGATATTTGCCTTAACTCAACCAGTTGGTTTTGTTAAAATTGAGCCGGTTTCTGAAGATGAATTCTATACTAGATGGTGAGACAATTTTATATAATATGCTAACACATCTAAATTTATACAAATATTGATAGATATATTATATGAAATATTAATTAAGGAAATTAATTATTATAAATTTGAATATGGACTTTGTTTTTGAAGCATAATTTTTTAAAAACTCTTATCGACTTTTGAAATGAAATTACATACATTTCATAATACTTAAATCAATGAATTTGGACTGGATGAATTCTTTTTAGTTAAAAATTAAAGATGTTCAACATTATTTAAAATCGTAGTTCATTTTCGGTTGTTTTCAAAGTAATTGACATTAAAAAAAAAAACAATGTGCTACAATTGATTGGTACATTATTCTTGTAGTACAATTATTTTTTACTTTTTATTTCACCGTTTTAATATTTTCAAACACTATAAGTTATTCCCGCCAAAAGTTTGTGATAGCCTGTTATCAGTTATGTGTGATAAGGTTCATTTATCTTTTAAAATCATAAATCGTGAATTTCTAAATGATTCTCCACGAACCGATAATTTAATTAGTTTTGAATTTGTGTTTTAATACATTGTAAAATATTCTATGATACTAATGCTTACATACAAGACTTAATGTATTTTATGTTCATTTTTAATGAATTTATTTGTGTTTTGGTTTAGCAAGTTCAAAGAAATAAAGAGAAATTCAATTAGTAGATACTAAATAATATTATAGATTTGTAAGTTACTCGCTTTTCAAATTTTTTTCCACAATACATTTTAATTTTAAAAATAAGTGTTTTTACTCTTATCTCTTATCTTTTATCAGATAACAGAGTGGCAGCTTTTTTGTGATATTTGTTTTGTGTTGAAAGTTGAAACTTATTTTCAATACATTATTTTTTATCACCTGGTAAAATTATATAACTATAATTATTTACGTGTAATCCCAAATGTTTTAAAAAAAAAATTTGGTAAAGAGTACAAGACAGGATATTTTAAAAATCCAATGTGTATACAAATGTACATATCTAGTGGTTTTCTGTAGATTTTTCACTGGATCTATGAAAAGTTAATATATTTTGTTTTGTAAATAATCGAATGACACAGCGCAATAGAAACGCTCACCTTTTAACACATCTGTGTATACAAATCCTAAAAATGTGTATCTGAACCGAGTATATTGTCAACTTATGATATTGTATTCCTAGCATAACCTACGATTTTCTATGCTATTATAACGAGCGCTTTCACAAACACAAACAAAATTAATTCAAGCGAAATGATGTTATAAGTTGAAAATGATTTGAAAGCAGTAACTAAAAAAAAAATAAGTCTGCAACCACGAAAGAGCATTTTCAAGTATCTAAGGGTGGCTAGTAAACATATCAAGTTTCTGGCTAACATTTAAGTGTTTTCATAATATCTGGCCTAGAACAATTCAGTGGAATATGACCTCTTAAATTATTGAATTTTTTTTCAGTTCTAGTTTGAACGTTGTGAACACAACATATCTCTTAACTCTAATCTCTTATCAGATACCAGCCTTTTTTCGTCACAAGTTTTTCGATATTTTTTTTCTATAGTACTATACTATCCCATTCCAACCCCCAACCCCATCCCTCATCACTAATCTCCTATATCTTACCTCCTCATCTCCTAAATTAGTAGTTTCTTTAGCGGGCGATAAAGAAAATTAACCTTCGTCTCTTCGTTAAAATCGTCGACTATGCAAGTTAGTTGGTTGGTTTACTAACATCTACTGAAAATTGTGTAAATGATAATTGGGTTAATAAATATATAATCATGACAATTAATAATCGTCGATGATTTTCAATAGTAAAAACATGTTTACACAAAATGAATAATAGACAACCTTTTAAAATTATTTTAATGATAAAAACATATAAGAAAGAAATCGGAGAGCAACTTTTCCGGGGAAAATTCTTATGCGTTTTTCAAAATATCAAACAGGAAAAAAGTCACAATAATTATTAGACACCAAAGTTTAACCTTTTTAATGGGGATTTTGTAAAAATAAAATCTTAATTAAATATTGGGTATGACTTATTCTTAACATACATTTTAACCACTGACGACTCTAAAAGAATTCGTTCAAAAATGGTCATCGACCAGTCAAAATATTTGAAAAACTACACTTTAAAATGGTTACCTTAATATATTTTTTTTTATATTTTCCATATGTTTTTAAAATGTTTTAGCTTCGATGCAATTTTAGATTTAGTCCATATTAACGATACCCTAACAGCACTGGGAAGCCAAGGAAGTTAACGAGTAAGTCAATTTTTTTTATGTTGTTTGATGTATGTAATATATATTTCCATAGCACCGTGACTGTGATTGCTTCAGCCTACACAGAACTCTGTTATGGCCAGGCCAACGGTTAATATTACAATAGCTAACAGTTGTAGATTATAACACCTACTATAGGCCTACGCTAATAATTCAAAACGCGTTGGTGTAGCTCAGTTGCCTATATCAAACGCCGTTTGAATATTTAAAAAAACATGCAAATTGGTGGTTTAATTTGTTACAATATTGTAACTTTAGCCGGTACAATTTTTATACATTTTTTAAATTAATATTACAACAAAAATTTGCCGTTCTCCAAAATTGGCAATTATATATTGTTGTTCTGTGAATAGAACGTTCAAAAAGTCAAGTCAGACATCAAACAGATGGCACCACTTGTGTTGTTTTGGAAACTTTGGAACAGATTGTTGTCTCTGGTAATAATGTATTATTCAGACGGTGAGTGAATAAATGTAAAACAATAATATGATCATACAATATAAAATTGGACTCAAAGAACACTTATTGCCATTAAGAAAAAAATATAAAATAAAAAGTAATAAAGTTTTAAACTCGATTTATACAATCATCTATCAAATAAACATAGGAACTTTTTCATTTTAAGTATTATAACACTAATTGGTTATGATAATAGATCTTCTTTAATATCACAAAAACTTACATATACTTTTGTACACTGATTATCTTTGAAATGACATAAAATAACGTTTTCACGCCAAGGAGTACATCCAGTTCGCTTAAAATGTAAACATTGAATCTGCTCAAAACATTTAATTAAAAATGTTAATTAAAAAAAAAAAAAAAAAGGACAAGGTCGTTGCGGTTATGCTACGAGTATAAATTGGACATTAAAACGGTAAACTTTGGAAGGAGTTGTTTAACTAAATCTTACTAGCCTTCCATTAGTTTGACGGACAACCGCATCACATCTGATGTCCCTTAAAAAACATAATATATTATTTATATATATATATATATATAAATTCAACATTTTTGTTTTGTTTTAGATAATGCAGATTTAAAACAGCTTTAATATGGTGGACTTTTTTAGAAACGTGGAGAGACATCTAGTTTTTTTCCCCGCCATGCTTTTTGAGACACCCCGTGTATGTTTATTAGGTGTAATATTAATCGTTCCTAATTTTTTCATAAAAATAAAAAAAAAATTCATGCGGCGAAGGGTAAAGCCACCGGTTATTTGATTTGAGAGAATTGACAGAAATGACAGAGCTCCGTTTGAGGACACATTTTGTTTTGCGCGGAAGGGGTTGATTTTCTTTGAATTTTCGACCCATCAAAGGGGTACCGTTTGTAGGTACGATTTATCGAAGTCAAAAATTTGATACGGTTTTTGAATCGTTATTTTCCGGGCAAGAGAAAATCGTGTGGAATGCCTAACGTTACGATATTGATCAAAAGCACTGTTTGATTTGGGGTCGGTGCACAATAGTAATAACCGTGGACTTGCCTCGTGGTGTTGGCGTTTAAACATGAATATTATGATTGTATCTGACACAATTGTGCGTGTAATAATAAATAAAGATTTGTGTTGCCAATTGAGGCGCTCAGCAGCCAAACTGATTGACTCCATAAAACGCAATTTTTCACCACAGGCAGTTAAAGTTATTTGAAACAATGTATGTAAGTGCAATTGTCAATCTTCTTGGCGCACTCCAGTGGTGGAAAATTCAACTACGGAGTTACTTGTTTGGGCCACTGACAATTATACACTTTTTTTTTTAACCCAACCACGCTATTATTCGCAATTTGAAAAAAAAATCGGAGTTAATTTCTGAAGGTTATTTCGTAATCAACATTAAAATAGTAAATAAAATATAGTATTATATTCTAACTAGCTTTTTTAAATATTAGGTGTGGATTGACTTACTCAGTGAATACCCCAAAACCACTATTATATCAAAAATAAACAACTGACTTGTATTGATTAATAGTTGTCGACGTTGTTCATTAAATTTTTTTTATTATAAGTGTTATTCAAACAATAATTACAAGCTGGAATAACAAGTTCAAGCTGTATTTTTTTTTTCAAACATAAATTACAGATTAGATATCGTAATTAGTTGGCCTACCTCCTGTAAGCTTATGCAGCTTGTGGTACTAAATATACAACTAATGAAATAAAAACAGAGTACAATGGTAATAATACGCACTACAAATCAAATAAATGTAAATAAATTAAACTAATGATTACAATAAAATGTTTTAAAAAATAACATTTTACAAGAACAATATTAACGATAAGAAAATACAAATGAAAAACAAAGTGATATAAATAATACAACAAAATTTAATCAAAATGATTAATACAAACGCACATCTTTCTCTAA